GATTTCTACTAGTGGTAGATGCGAATACGAACCACTTCTCTGTCTCATATTTAACTGCTTTTGGAAAAAGAAGAATTTGAGACTTCCGTAGTCGGTGTAAATTTCACACTTTAGCCATAAAAGTAGTGAAGAAGTCATATTTTTAGTCCATGAACAACCATCACAAGTTACACGTCATGCATTGAGTAGTTCTACTCATACTGATTCAACTGTCTCAAAGCATTGGCAATCACTTTTTCATGTTGCATCCTTCGAATCTTTGGGTATTCTTAATATTAGAGTTGTAAGCAAGTAAATATGCGTTGTTTCAATTTCTAAAAACTATTTTCACATTTATGTTTTCCCCTTGAACAACTGTCTAAGATTCTAACAAAAGAAAAAAAAGATGTTGTTTTTAATTCAAGTAGGTACTCCACTCCATGGATATAATTTATATCTACACTCCAAGCTTCTCGTTAAGTAAAACTATCAATAACATTAATGTGGAGGTTATATAATTAAAGTGGTGGAATATAAATGATTTTCTAACATACTATTCAATAATATTTCTTCATAATATATTATAGATATTGGATTTCAAGAATGCGCAATAAAGTTCCGTTCGGTAATATCATTTTAATCACATAATAATTTTAAATATTAAATTAGAAATTATTTCAAAACATCGTTACAATGCGATAAAATTTTAAATTTGAAAGTAATTAACAATGATGTTACAAATTCATGTGCATCATGAGTCATATATTCTACGGAATGCCATTCTTGCCAATGTTGTATGTCGAGTCTCCCACTAGAGGCCCGCTTTGCCAAAAGCAAGAGAAACCACATCCCTCACCTTCCCTTTTCGCCCCCATGTGCCATACAACACTAGTAATACCAACAAGGAATTAGGCTAGACTTCCATTATTTTGTTTATAGATTTCTATTACACGTTTGAGACATGATTCTTCTTTGAATATTCATTTCTATTCCTCCAATATATACATTATATTTTAAATTTTAAAATGTAGTATAAGATTTTTAATAATTACTCTTGCAAATTACACAATTTTTTTTATTAAGAATTAAAATCTATGTAACAAAACACAATGATTGTATTTAGAAGCAAATAAATTGAGTAGTACATTAGAGAAAAATCTGTGTAACAAAACTTACCGTTAAATATCATTGAAGATGAAAAAGAAAGTTTGAATATGAGTTCTGATTGAACTCATTATGAATACAGTTTAAATGATATAGGTACAAATGGAGTCTTTATGAATGGGTTCCATTTTATACTTTGTTTGGGCATCAAATATTTTTTTCCAATATCTAGTTGTACTAATTGAATTCAATGTTTCTCGATAAACCCTTTGCTTTTTTTATTTTCGTGATTTCACTGGTGGGACAAGTTGCTGGGGCATGACATTCTTAGTGCGCGGCCTTCCACGTAGCCTCTTTTCAATAACCATACCAGTTTCTGAAATGTCAATGTTAAGTGGGTGACCAATGATTGATTTACCCGTTAACTTGCTCATTAGAGAAATATATGGAACATGCTACGGTTGGTAGCTCGTGTTCACCTCGAGAGTAACATCATACAAGCCAGAATCATCTTTACAGTCTCCAAGATAAAAATTTGACGGGTCATACTTTGGATTAACAGTAGAACGTGACTGGCGATGGGGCATTAACCTCTGGGAAACTGCCAATGCATCAACTTGTCCTCGTGTGTGAGGTTTCATTGGATGAACAGATGCCTTTTCAATCTTAACATCTGTAATTGGTCCCGACTTTCCATAAAAGCTGTCCAGAATGGTATCTGACATGTACACATAGCCATCCAGTTTTCTCAACCTTGACTTCCTTCTTCGCTTTAGCTTCCAGTCAAAAGTGCCTAACCAAAACGACACGTCAATATCAGGATTTATGAAAGTATCTTACACTGATTGCATGCAAAAACCATGGATATAAACCAAGCCTATAAATGTAAAAGTACTTAAAAATAACTTTTTAAATGTGCCCAACATATGTCTAAGCTTANGGACATAAACCAAGTCTATAAATGTAAAAGTACTTAAAGATAATTTTTATATGTGCCCAACATATGTCTAAGCTTAAATGGCATTTTTAAATAACTTTTTTAGCGAAACATTTTTTAGCTTGTCTAGAAGTCACTTTATGGGAAGGTTTTTTATATCAATAACTTACTTTACAATAGTATCTACTTACTTTCTGAGAAAGTACTTTTAAATTTTTTTTTGGCTCAGCCGGACATGCTCGAGTCTCTGACGATAAAATTTGATGTATGTACAGACCATTGCACGTGGAATTCCTACTCACATGTATGGGAATTCAAATCGTGCAAGGTTTAACTAAAAAACAAGGATAAAACAGTTGGAAATTGGGAAATGTTAAATAACACGATAAGTAGAATATCAATCGCCTCCAAACAGAAATATCACTATTGGCGTGTTTGACTTAACAACTGAAAACCTAACTTGCAAGCATTTATGTCCATTTCACACTTATTCTTCTATGACAAGTAAATTCAGAAAACAATATCTTGCAAGCATTCATCACCGCTTTTCATAGAAAAATCAAAAAGTTAATTAACTGCAGTTGGTGAAACTATTGCCATGTACGGAGTCGTGCCAGAGCACATGAAGAGAATACGATGGAATAAAACTCTTGTTTTATATGGAAAAAAATATATGATATAAACCATTTATAAAAAAATGGATTTCAAAATTGATTTTTAGCGATGAATTAGAAACTGAAAGAGCCATTTTGGGTGATTTCAAATTAAATGAAACTATCATCTCATGGCTATACATCACTAAATAACAGATGAACGCATGGCTAACTAAATAAAGGTCCTAACCTTTAACTCTAAAGAATGATTTAATTATCAACACAAAAAAAGGCACGTACAAACATGTGTCTTCTCTCCCAAGGAGCTGTATAGGTGTCCCTGCTCTTGGCATAGGAAATATTAATCTGGCCTGAGAATCCGACCTGGTCACCAATAACAATTTTGCCTTCGGGCCCAAACCAACCCGCCCTCCGACGCATCAATGGCTTTTTTGTTGTCATGAGAAGAACAACCCATGTTTCACAATTCTGGAAAAGAAAATGAGGTCTATGAAAAATTATGTAAAGTTGAAGTCATTGCATGTCAAGGGCACGCGCAGTGGACCCATAAAATCTCACATCCAAGAGTAAATTTAAGTGCCCTCTTCAAAATAAAAACACAAGGTATATATCATACATCAGGAAAAAATGGAATCTTAATTGGGAAAAAAAAAAAAACTGATCTTCTACAAATACAATTTCTTACATTCAATTTTTTAAGGCTTCTCCATTGCACAAAATAACATTTTACAAGACTTTTTTTCCTCTAAAAGAATTGAAGTCACTCTTGAAAATATATTTATATATATTTTTTCGTGATACATATGACAATTTTAAAAAGAGAGGATTTCACATTGAAGAATCTTCTTACGGCTGCAAAAGAAGTACAAGGAAACTGAGAAAGAAATATTTTTTGTTAGCGATGTGTGTGTTTATGTGTACATTTATTTAGAAATTAATCTTGTACAGAAAAAATGATTTCTTAAAATGAAGTTTTACCAGATTTCCCTTCGTGCAAAAGAGCGTGTAAAAACCTTTATTTCCTCTGAAAAACTCAAGTCAATCTTGAAAATGTATTTTTTCACATGTATATATAACAACTTTGAAAAAACGGAATTTCACATCAAAAAATATTCTTATGGCTGTAGGAGTACTAGAAAAAAAAGATAAAAAGTTTTTTCCAGTGCATGTGCGCATTTTTATATGTACGTGTCTAGGAGCTTGTGTAAAAGTTTTTACAAATGTAGAGAAAGAGAACACTGTCCAGAAAATGGTTATGAAACGTACCTTTGGATTCTTTTATGCCAAAGCAGANTTTACAAATGTAGAGAAAGAGAACACTGTCCAGAAAATGGTTATGAAACGTGCCTTTGGATTCTTTTATGCCAAAGCAGAGAAGAGAAGAGAGTTTGTGTCTATCCTAGAGAGGAGGCTCTCATTCAGATGGAGATAGGAATGGAGAGAATTAAATTGTATTGGGCGATATAGTCTAGGAAATGAAACGTATCTATTGATTATAAAGAGAAGAGACTCTATATGAAATGAATTACAGAAAAAAAAAAAAAAAGAATACAACAGTCTGCACTAATTAAATTTGGTACATAGTATTAAATTATATTGGGCGATACAACTTAGAAAACTTAGGTTTTTTCCTTCTTTGGTCATACTGTATTATCTTCCTCATGCACCAAACATGTCGAAGAGGTGTGGCTGTTCCAACATGATAACTGGTACAAGACTTGGCCTAAATGCATGCTAACAGGCAGCGTTTTGAATAAAAAATATGTTACTACACTTGGTAAGTCTCATTCTGTTGCCGAGCTGAGAAGTCATTTACCATACAAGCTCTCATACTAATTTAGAAGTGCAATTAGGAATAAAAGCTCGTAAATAAATATATTTTTGAGTACTGGATTTCATGTGATTAATCAGAATCCTAATTGTACTTTAGGCTGTATTTGTTTGGTAGAGTGATTAAGCTGAGAGTTCAATATCCTTACCTATACTAATGGTATATGATGATCGATTAATATGCCATCGAGTTGATCGTCAATTACCGTAAGTGCACTAATTATATGAGCCATTTTGCGAGTCTCGGATGACCTAGAGAGTGTTACTCCAGTAAAAGACTAGTTCTGTTAGTTATTCCAACTCACACATCTGGCGGAAAACCTAATCTGCGACATGGTTTTATCAGCCAAATGACAGTTATCAAGGGCTGAAGTTGGTTTGATTACAACAGTGGTGCAGTCGGTTCATTGAGCTCTTTAGTTTTTTTGTTTTTTTTTTTCATCTCCTTTATAAGTAGTTGGCATACTAATTGTACTTTACACTTTATTAGTTCGTTACAGTGATTAAGTTCATAGGTCCATTACCATAGATAAACTAATGTATTTCAAATTTAGTTGGTGATCGAGCTACTAATTTAGAAGGGTAATTAAGGAATAAATGCATCGAGTAAATAAATGTATTTTTATGTATTGGATTGCATATGATTAATCAGAATACTTTTTGTACTTTGCGCTTCGTTAGTATGGTCCCCGTGATTTTGAGCTGAAACGTACTAATTATTGTCTTTAATTAGATTAATATGATCATCAAGCTACAAATTTAGTCGCACTATGAGCACTACTTATATTTTACACTTGGTAATTGTGATACGGTGATAGAGGATAAACATACAAGATGTGGTATTAATTCAAATGGTTGTTTTAGGAATGAGCATAGTGAGTCAATAAGTGTATTTTACGTGTTGGACTCGCTTATCACTTGCATGCGACCTGATTGGTTAATTTAGGCGACAACTATCTGATGCATCTACATATTGATACATGTTAATCCAGATGTAGACATTCACCAGCTTTATAGCATGGTTGGTGATGCAACGATAAACTTCAAATTGTGACCCAACTCCATTGGATCCATACCAGCCACTACCACTGTCATGTAATCTAGTTGGTGAATTTTTGTGACACATGTTCATACACACTAATCTAGAAGATGATATCCAATAACTTTACCTTTGAGTTGTATATTTTCACAATTAAACATTGATTTCAAGACACACATGATTTTGAAACAGAGAGAGAATATTAAATTCTGTCAAACCTAAAGTAAGCAGCAAATTAATAGTAACACTTCATTATGCCCTTGATTATAACTATTAAATCTGTATCAGGGAGTACCTCGAGAACACTATATACTATGCAACTAACTGAACATAGTTCTCTAAAAAGAACACCTGAATTTGACAGCCTAATTAAATAAAAACTCGTGATGAAAACAACATAGGTTGCTCAGATAGAGCTATTCAATGCTGCATTCAGTCGGCTGAACACCACCCTCAGAGGGACGCAAGCTACAACTGGGTTGGCGACCATGTTGATCACAGGGATCTCCTCTGGCTCTGGCAAACCCGCAAGTGAAGCAAATTTCCTGGTCTTTCTCGACAAACCCCTGTGCTTTTTCGATTTTCGTGATTTCACTGGTGGGACCAACTGCTGTGGCATGACATTCTTAGTGCGTGGCCTTCCACGTGGCCTCTTTTCAATAACCATACCAGCTTCTGAAACATCAACATTAAGTGGGTGGCCAACGATTGACTTACGGGTTAACTTGCTCGTTAGAAAAATATTTGGAACATGTTGTGGTTGGTAGCTCATGTTTGGCTCGAGAGTTACATCATACAAGCCAGAGTCATCTATACAGTCTCCAAGATAAAAATTTGACAGGTCATACTTCGGATTGACAATAGAACGTGACTGGCGATGGGGCATTAACCTCTGGGGAACTGCCAGTTCATCAGCTTTTCCTCGTGTCTCATGAGGTTTCATCAGATGAACAGATGACTTTTCAACCTTAACATCCGTAATTGGTCCCGACTTTCCAAAAAAGCTGTCCAGAATGGTATCTGACTTGTACACATAGCCACCTGGTTTTCTCGACCTTGACTTCCT